TTAGCGATAAGTTACCGTTTAATTACGGTAAATTACCGTACAATTATGGTACTTTAGCGTACAAAAACAGTACTTTATTTATCGGATAATTGGAGTATTTTACTAACAATTACGGTATTTTACCGTACAATCACGGTATCTTACCGTACAATAACGGTAAATTACTGTACAATCACGGTACTTTTCCGTACAATCTCCGTAATTTACGGTGTCATACTGTATTACGGTAAACCACTGTACGTACCGTACCCTACCGTAAATTTGCCGTACATTACCGTACTCTACCGCACTTTGGATCCGTCAGGGGAAGTTGTGTAAAAAAAACACTTTCTTTGAAATTTTTCGTTTTCGGAAACTCCCGAACCCATCTGATGAAAACTCGATTTCCGCAAAACGGGGTAAAACCAATAACTTCCCGAATTTTTTAAAATTTTTAATTTTTCATGGCAGAACGTTAAAAAAGTTGTGTAACAACTAGTTAAAAAAATAACCAAGCTACTTAAGGGTTTTTTTTCTTTAAGCGAAGGAGAAGGGGAAGGGACAGGCCATAGTAGATTTATTTCCGGAAATTTTATTTTTCCAATTACATTTTAAATAAATTTTAAAATCAATTAAAATGAAGTTTCCGAAAAATAACTTATTATTATGCAGCTAACACGGAAAAGTTATAATAGCGAATTGAAAAAATTTCCGAAAAGTAATTACAAGAAGTTAATTTCAAAAAATACGTTCATTACGGCCTAGCTTTAAATACTTATAAGTTTAGTTCAAATAAATTTTGTCATTTAAGTTTTGATATTTAATTTAGCGCTTTAATAACAAGTAGTACCATCTGCTGGATACAACTAGGAGCATCACAAGAACCAAAAGTATTTCCTAGTTACCAAACTTAAGGCGCACATCTCATAAATCTCATAAACTTAAAACTAAAATTGGAAATCAAATTTCCATTTTACATAGTCGTTTTTTTACAAAAAGACATTGTTGTATAGCCACCAAATTGTTATATCCGACGATATAATAGATGTCGTTTTGATGCATTACGCGGCAAATTCGCTGTAATTTGAATTATTTAGTGTAATTTATAATAAATTATAAATAATGCATTTAGTTTATATACAAAATTGTTGTGGCACATAAATTAAAGTATAGAAATCGCCTTAAACAAACAATCAACAAACTAACTTTGTCAACATTTCTCATAACTATAAAAAGTACCCGAACAAGCTTACTCGTATTACTCGACAATTAAACCTTTGTAAAAACTAATAAAAGAAAAGCCATGTGTTAAATGTCCTTTAAGGATTTGTTAGTTACATATACATTTTCGTAAGCATTTTCAAGAGGTCGTAAATTATGAAATAGAATAAGACCATAGAACCAGGCCAACAATAATACTATTCGTTAAATAAATAACCGATAAATTATTAGAGTTACGTTTAATAATATTAGAGAATAGTTAATATTTAATTAAAAGGACAATATCTCATATTAATTAATAAATAAAATGATAATTAATCTGCAATACCTATATTAAATTTAATAGTCTAATAAGTAACATTTATAAATAATATCTAATTTGTAACCATGATAGATAAACTTTACATAATTATATTCATAACATATTTATAACAATTTAGTAATAATAATAATAATGTTAGTAATAATAAAAATATTAAAAATAATTTAAATAATGTTCTAAAGTTAATACTTTTTTGTTAATGCATAAGTCACGAGAATTTAAGATGCAATTGTGAGCTCAGGTACGTATTTGTGTACGTATCAAACAAAATATATGTAGACACAGGCATGGACGAGAATAAGTATTAGTGTATAAGTTCGAATAAGTATTAGTATATACGTTAGAATAAGTATAAGATGTAATAGATTAAGTATATTGGTTTGAACCATAGAGGGGGAAGTGAAGCCGGGAAACACCGACTTCGAGCCGAAACTTTGTAACTTCACTTCTTTCTGAGAGCTGTAACCGAGCACATACTGTAGCTGAAACCACTGAATAAAATCAAGCTCTCTGATAATTATTATTTATCATGTAAAACAGTCCACCTAACTAAAGTTTTCCCTTTTCTTTAACTTAATCTAACAAATTTCATTATCAAAAATAAATTAAATAAACAACAATAAATTTAAATTGATCCCGCGTGACGACAACTCACACTTCAGTCCAGAAGAGGCGTTACGAGCAATCTAGTGACCTTGCTGGACATAACAAAATTGGCTATAGTAAATTTATTGAGTTCTTTTATTTTGCCCTTTGGAACGCGGTAAGGCGTTCAACTTCCAGTGAGTGATCCAAACGGAAATGTATAGCCAATGTAATAATTGTAAAGGAATTCAAAAAAAGTAACTTGCTTTTGTGATGCACCCAGTGCATCCAACAGGTGACGCTACCTGTTATTAGAGCGCTATCTATTATGAGAGCGCGAATTCAAACGAAATATTCAAACTAGTAAATATTAAATGATTAAAATTACTTAAATTTCAAATTCGAAGTAAATATTCCAGCCC